TTTTAATTAAAGTATTAAATCCTTTATTATTTATCTAATCTACATAATCCAGTAAACAATGTTTGAAAAAATTATTTTTCAAAGTTTAAACTCCAATTCATTGTTTGTGTGTTTTCCATATTAGATATTGGATTCACCCATAAAACATAATATAGGCCTAATAACACTAATATAGTATTGCAAATTATTAATTACTAATTACAATACATTATTGATAACCAGGGTTGAGAGTTTATAGGACTTAAAGTTGCATAAATAGTTTTGCGCTATAATATGATCAGAGCCGGCGAGAACTTTTGTAGAACCCGGAGCTGATCAATTCCGGGCTTCTTTACTTATATTTATTTGACTAAGATATCCTTAACTAAGCTGTACTTAATATTTAAGTTTAATGAATTGTAAATAAAAATATATATAATATTTGATATATAAAATCTTTTATTAATACTGAAGAAAATAATGTAACCGAGTATTTAAAAGTAATTAACGAATGATTAAGTTCAGTTAAAGTGTTCCTTTTCAGCACTTTCCTTTAGCAAAGTCGTTGATAACAGCATCCAAGTTTTGGTGTTTTTAGCCAGTTCTTTTTCCACCGCTAACACTTCTAAACTCGATAGCCTGTCTTGACACATGGTCGCACCTAAAAAATTATTGTAATTTCTGGAAATTGGTTTTTAACTTGTTGAAATACGTACCTGTTTCAGAAAAAAATTTCCGATACATTCATATAAACCACCAAGCGAATATTCTACATTTATCAATAATATCTCCTAAAAGAATAATAAAACCACATATTAGTGAATTAAACTCGTAAAACTTGATAGACACTTTCAACATTTGCGACAATAATGTGAACAATGTCTTGTCGTACCATACTCACTGTTCGTCCTAGTGGCCCTACACCAGTGGCTTATCCATGGTGAGGGAGTCAAAACCCCCCCCCCCCCCCATGAAACCTGAGATAGTAAATTAACTTTTACATAAAACACGGTTTTTTCTTTAACATTTTTATATTTTAGAAATTAATAAATTAATAAATAAATTAAATAAATAATATAAATTAATAAATAAATTAAATAAATAATATAAATTAATAAATTTTGGAAATCATATTAATAGTTTGTATAAACACTATAAACGTATTATACACACGATGCACACACACACAAGTCATAATATTATGATCATATTTAGATACTTTATTAGTACTTTGATACTTTTTGCTTGGGAACATATTATTTAGGTTATTTATAACAGTTGATTCTAAATCGGTCGTCTGGTCCCGATAACTGAGATAAAAGCAATATCATTGTCTGTGTTCAAAATAGGCCCACCACTAGCCGGCTTGGGAAGCCAAAATAGTGGCAGGGGCCTAAAAACCCCGGGTTGACCAACCGATGTCAATTAAAAACCTAGGAAGTACCACGGAAAGGCGAGCCCCACCGCACGCCGGACCGGCCTAGCCGCTCCGGACCCACTGCCCCCAAGGTTGAGGAGCCTACTTCGGCTGAAACGTGGTGGCAGTGGCACAGCGCGAGATAGTAAAACCACAACACCCAGTGGAAACCATGGGTCCCAACATGGTTCTCGTGTCCGCGGTTTGAAAGGGTACGGGCCTAGGTTCGGTGCTGGTGGTCCATTCGACGACCCAGGCTCCTTGATTATACCATGGGGTTCGTTTCGACCGTTCCCCTTGAGTAACGTTTCGCGTTAATAGAAGGTGTGCGAACGATAAGGCTTCGGCCACAAACCCGGATCTCGTGTCTGTATTCAAAGTTTAATTTGAGTATACCTATTGCATTTGCGGCTCGCCGATCATTTAACACAAGCACCTTATTGTGTAAAACTAATAGCTATTAGTAGGCTTAGGGACTTCTAGCATTTGCATACATGTCCGATGGCGAAACGGTCTCGGCGAATAGTCCAGCGGCGAAACGGTCGCAGTGAATAGACCGGCGGCGAAATGGTACGGCTGCGAATCAGTCGCGGCAAGATCATCCGGTGGCGAGACGGTCACGGCGAAACGGTCACGGCGAATTTTCCGGCAGCGAAACGGTCGCGGCGAAATGTCCTAGACCCTATTTTGTAACATTGTATAATGCCGAAAGTAAAACAGTCTATGAGTAGCCGATTACAAAGTCTTGTTTCGGAGTTTAAAGATACATTTACATTCAATGGACCAGGGGCGTATTTAAACTTACTTCTAGGGGGGAGGGGGGACTGAAATTTTTTCTTTAATTCAGGCTCAAATGTACAAGTAAAATGTTTTGGTAATATTTAAATCAGGTGAATCTTTAATATTAGTAGTATTTTTTTTTTAATTTAATGCCGGATCCACTTAGAATCGACTTTTATGTAGTTATTTTTTAACACCTGTCTGTGTTTTGAAAGTTACGCTTGTGTTTTATTTGATTTTTCACTAAGTATGGACCCAATAAAAAGCCCAATTCAATATTCACAGCTACATGTAATTTGATTTCATTATAAAATGATCCACATTAAAAAAAATTTGAAATGTATATCTAACCTGCGATGGACTCATTTTACTTTGTGTACTATATGGTCATTTTTTTTTTTTTTTAATGCATATAAATGCATATTATTATCATAGGCGCACATTGTGTGTGAATTCAGGGGGTGCTGGAATAATTTCTACTATACAGGTCCATGGGGGATTTGCCCCCACCCCCCACCCCCTAATACTATACTCAAACGCGTTGCCATAATTTTTAATTTTTATTAATAAATATTTAAAATTAATTATATTATAACATACATATTATTAATAATAATATATTAAACAAGATTTAATTTCCTGTTTGATGCAGATTTTTCCAATATAATTCCCCCATTTATTTTATTGGTAAGATCTCTCTCAATGCTAAGCGTAGATAGCTTAGTAAATCTTTCTTGGCCCATACAAGTGCGTAACCAATTTTTCAATCTACGCATAGCTGAAAAAGAGCGTTCACACGTTGAAAAAGAAATTGGAATTGTCATTCTCACTTGAACTAGTTTATAAACATTTGGAAACGAACTTTTATTACATTGATTTTTCAAGTCTTTAAATTCAAAGTTGGCTAGTAGACTATTCTTTAAGACCAGAATTTCTGCTGATAAACTAGCTGTCGATATTTTCAAAGTATCCTGATATATCAAACAATAAACAGATTAATTAACATAATAATATTTCAAAACATATAACCATGTAATAAATATTTTAAATATTTAGTTATTTTTTATTAAAGTATATCTTATAAGTGTTTATAAAACATACACTATGATATTCATCCAAGTTAAAAAAGTTGTCTACAGATTTGGCCAGCTCTATGCTTTCTTCAGAAAAATGTTTTTCTAAATTCACAATTATTCCATCAATTATCCTTAAATAAACTGTTGTACACCAATATTCAATAGTGTTAGAAGTATTATTTTCAGACACTGCTCTTGTTCGATGACTCAGGTCATAATCTTGAAGTTTGGTTGATTCACGAAGTTTCCGATTTTGTATTCGAGATAATATTCTAGGAAATTGGGTGTGCTAATTTTAAATCTGGGGGTACTAAGCACCCCCCTATGTGAGCCTATAACTATTATGCGTATTTTAATTATTTTAGAAGCATATTTGCATGCATATTTATATATTTTATAGAGCTATAAATCCCTAAGGCTAGTTATTAGTTAAAAGTTGGTCGTTGCCCGTTAGTATCTCACTTTTTTACTTACTACTCGTTTATTCGTTTATATTTGACATTTGTATTCCATTACGTTTGTCTTATTTTAATTTGACATCATTCTAAGACGTCTAAACATTCCATTATGGTAAGATATTTTTAAAATTTAATTTTTAGTATACCTAAATGATTGGACAGAAAATATTCTAATATCTATATGTTCCTAGCTTCTAAATTGTTATTATTATTATTATTATTATTTATTATTATAAGCAAATTCTCTAACAAATAAGGAGACTAGAAAAATAAATTTTTTTTTTACCCGAGTCAAAAAAACTAATGTCAACCAAACTTAAAAATACCGAGATCAATACAAATAGTAGTCAAAATGATAGTGACAAGATTAAATATATATAAATTTGCTGAACCTCCCCTCCTAAAAAGTTCCTGGCTACGCCACAGCACACACAAGTATACAAGTTACTAGCACACATAAGAATTATTTTGTTTTAATTAATTGTATACATAATTTATAAGACGAAAAAAAATTGTATTTTTAGTTATGGCTTCTAGCAAAATTAGGCAGTATTTTGAACGTATCAAGTCAAATGATTTGGCTAAGTGTTTAATTTATGATTATGTATTGATGAGCAATGGACCTACTTCATCATTGTGAACACATTTTAATGCATGACACAAAGATAATAATACTCTAGAATAAAACAGTAAAAGGTAATTAAAATTATATTTTTAATTTATTTCAATTTAAGCAATTAAATAAAACCAATAAATACCCGATTGAACATTAATAATTTAATAATCTAAATATATTATTATATGATTATATGTATAATATATAATAATTATATAATAATATATTATTATATAATTTATTTCCCGGACTAAGATTTGTATTTGATAGCATGTATTTTTAGATTAATAGTGAAATAAGGAATGTATTAGTTTTACCCTGATTTTTGTTTTTTATTTTTTTATTATTATTTTATACTCGATACTTTGTAATGTACATGATAATGTCGGCGGTGAAAAGAACTTAACTTTATTCAATCCAACAGCCATTTCAATATGTACCAATCAAAGTGATTGAATTGCTTCAACGCATACTGATCATATATCTTCGACATCTACAGAATCTTCATTAAGTGTTCAACTGCAAAAACATTTAAAACAAACTTACTACACAAGTTACAAAAGATAGACCGTTAACGCAAGAACGAAAAAATCTTGTAACAAGCACCATTTGTGAAATTATTACAAGTGACTTGTTGCCTTCTTCTTTTGTAGAAAATACAAGACATAAAAATCTTATGAACCAAATTAAGCCAAATTATAATATACCATGTCAAAAAGCAATATGCACTAGCATAGAAAAGCTGTATGAAGGTAAATTAAATAATATTAAAAACTATTTTAAAAATATTAGTGTTAACGCACTAACTACAGATTTTCGGGTTTTCTGATTTTAGAATCAGGAATCCAAATTTACAATAATATTCGGATTTCGGATTTCGAATTCCAAAAATCAGAATTTTAAAACTTTGCCAAATCCAGATTTTTTCCTTAACTATTATTTATACATTTTAAGGAGCAAATAAATTTAAAAAAAAAAAAACAAATACAATGAAAGTACAGTTGTATGCTAACTACTAAAACATTATAAAACTATGTTATGCAAACAATAAACAATATTTTCAATTATAGTTTTTAGAAAAGAGATGGTTATATACAAAAAATAATAATACAAACAAATTCAAAAGATTTCATCAACATTTTTAAATATTTTTTCAGGCAATATTTTCAGAGAGATAGTGCCATGTTCGCCTTTGGACAGATCTGCTACAATTTTTACAGAAGAGTTCTCTTTGATCTCCCCACTTTCATGAGCCTTAGCTAATTGAGACACAATAGATCTTTCAACTTCATGTTTAATAGATCTAGCACCGTAGTTTACATCATAAGCGCCTATTATAACGTGTTCAACTGCACTATCCCAAAAAATATTTACTCCGTGTTTGTTTAAGGCCTGTAAGCAAGACATAGATAAATAACAATGTTAGTTAAAGAATATATATTCTTGATATTTTTGAATTTTTTATTATAATTAGTAATTACTAGAAAAACAATATTCGAATATACAAATTATATTATTACACAACATAATGTAATTTTTTAGTTTCTAATATAGTCTATAATTGTAAGTACTTTAAGATTGTTGAAAATTATATTTTAAATCTGAATATATTTATAATAATTCAAACAAAATGTTTTATCGTTTGTTCAATAATGAAATACTTAACTTATTCTAATAAATAAATTATTAATTTTTAATTAACTTTTATAGTAAACAAACTACTAGTAATAATTTGATGTTGCATAAACAGAGAAAAATGTACAATAAATATTAAATATAATAAATTATTAAGAAACATAGTTGTTATTAACACAAGCATTAAGCTTGATTCACACCTATCCGGCACGGCACAGCACGGCAGAATACTAGACTGAAACGTAAGGGCTTATTATCCTTCATGTGTTAGAATTTTGTAATTTGTTTTGAATTTTTTTTATTAGGTGTTGATACCTGGTAATAAGAATGACACAAAAAATAATATGAGCATAGTAATAAATTGATATAAAGATCCTTATTCTTTGAATAAATTCAATGAGTGGATTAAAATGTTCTATTTTTGATAAATTAATGTGAGGATTACAAATTGTACTTGAAAAGGAATATAGAAAATCTAAATATTTTCAGTTCAAAATAAAATTATATAAATTTTAATAGTTTTTCACCGATGTTTATCGGTTTCTACATTCACACTGCACCGACACTAAACGTACCGACATAGACCGGCACGAACCGGACTGGCAAAACATTCTTTCAAATGATGGTCGGTCAGTCCGGTCAGTGCTGGTCTATGCTAGTGCGGTGACGTACACACCAATGTGAATTATTTCATATAAACTAATAATACAATGTTTTATCGTGCCATTACGTGCTGTGCTGTGCCATGCCGTGCCGGACAAGTGTAAATCAGGCTTTATTCATCTGGTATTAATATACCTATATATAATGTACACAAATGATATGGCTAACAATTTTGTAATAAAGAAAATTAAAAATAATTGTTATTTAATTTATAAGACATAGTACCCAATTTTTACTTAAGTCATATTTCATACATAATAAAATAATATAAGTAAATATAAAGTACTAAACAATTCTTTAAAGTTCATTTTGAAAAAGAAACCACAAAGTGTATTAAATTTCGACAAGACAGAATCTAATCATAACATTATACTCTAGAGCAGGTTAGGTTACTTATCCATCTCAATATTTATCATTACCTTAATGATAGATTATTTACTTAAACTTCTTATAAATCTGGGGTGGACAACTGATGGGCCACATCCAGCCTTTTTAATCTGGCCTGTGCTATATTTTCAAATTACATCATATAATTTAAAGTTTATCATCTATCGATATAATAAATGTTATCTGGTATTAAACATTATTAAACGTTTAAATGTCATGTATAATAAATATTCATATAGTTTTCAACCATAGCTGTTCGTACCGAACTATTTAACTATATCAGTTTCTTTGTATCATTTGTGTCGTGCTGTCGCGTGTATTGAATTTATTATAATCGTGTACATAAACGCTAATTAAAATACATATTTTGAATGACTTTTTTTTTTGCTTTCCATACTCTGGCCTCCTAGATTTTAATTTTCTTAAAATTGGCCTTCTACTAACTTAGAGTTGCCCATCCCTGCTCTAAAGGAAGCAATAAAAACTTTTTGGATCTCGATGTACAAGAAGAAATTTGTTTATTGGACTGAATATTACAAATTAACCTAAATAACCATAAACTCATTTGTAAGCAAAAATGTTTAAAATACCAGTTCTTTCCAATGTTCCAATTCTCTTTGTACAATATTTTTCAATTCAGTTTCCGAAAATGGTAAAAAGTATACAATTTCATTAATTCGACCCAAAAACTCATCTCGTTTGAAGTGACGTTTTAAAATAGGTTTTATAATTTTATTTTTGAAATGATTTGATATGAACATTTCATCTTCATTTTTTTGAACTTTATCTTCAGATAGTTCTAAATCATGTTATAGATAATTAAAGATTAAAAAATGATTTTTATACTATCCATAAAAATAATTTATCTTCTTACTTTTATCTTCTCTTAATCTATTTTCACGTTGCTCTTTTCTTAGATCTAAAGCATGCTCAGCTATTTCATTACTAGCTAGGTTTGAAGTCATAATAAATATTGCATTTTTGCATTCAATTGTTTCTCCTTTTCCATCAGTTAAACGTCCCTATTAAAAACAGATAACATGAATACAAACATATTTTTTTGATTATTTATTTCAATTTTTATTTCCAAAAGAATATACATACATAGGCACCTGGATGGGGAAGGAAAGCTGGGAAATTTGCCCCCCTGGCTTTTCCAAAATGTTTTTTAAATTGAAAAATTTGATAAAAAAAGGTTCTTCATTGCTCCCCTTCCTTAACCTATCTGTGGGTGTCTATGTATACATATACAATAAAATTAGAAATAAATTATAAAGTTATGCATATATATATATATATATATTATTTAAAAAAGGATAAATTAAAATCAGTGATTTATAAATGTTTCATTCATTTATAATAATAAATAACTAACATAAGTATAATCATTATTGATTTTTATTAAATAATATAGACAAAGTGATTTTTCAACTTAAATCTATACCAATAAAAGATTTTTTTAAATAAGTTTTATGGTTTAAAAACATAAACAATATTTCATTAACAGTAATATTTAATAATAATTTTGTTTTTAGTAATCATTACAATACAATTCAACTATTACTAAAAATTATTTTTAATATATTCAATAATCATTAAAACTAATCTTATAAGCAGAGTATTAGTAGCTTAGATGTTTGAAAATGAATCATAATATAATTTACAAAACCAAATAAGTAATTATACAGGTTTATCATACACTAACTACAGTTGGCCAATAACTCATAAGATAAATAAAAATATTAAATTCAGAACTTCTAAATTCATACTAGTGTATAATTTACTTTTTGGTTATAAATAATTTAAGTAAAATGTTCGACGTTTTATGTAAGTATAACTGTAAACAAAAGAATAGTGACTAACCTTTAAAGGATTTTAAATAAAGTTTAAATAATAAAATGTTCAGTTACTATATTAAATGTTTACCTCGTCAAATAACTGTAACAATATTGTTAATATATCTGTATGAGCTTTTTCAATTTCATCAAACAATACTACAGAATTTGGATTTTTATTTAGCTGTTTGGTCAAGTAACCACCTTCATTGTGTCCAATATAACCTGGCGGAGAACCAATCATTTTTGAAACCTATAACATAAAATAAATTAATACATATAACAAAATATATATTTTAGGAATTCTAAAAAATAATTTTAGTTGATATTATATAAAAAAACATATAAATACTTTACATTACTAATAAACATGTTAGTTTAGTTTCAATTAGTTTCAATTCAATTTTTTACACACCTCATGATTTTCTTGATACTCGGACATGTCAAGTCTAATAAAATTGTTTACATCTTTTTTGTGTAAGCATTTAGCAACCTGTTTAGCCAACTCAGTTTTACCAATACCAGATGAACCAAGAAAGAGAAAAACTAAAGGATGTTCTCCATCTGTCCAACCATTTTCTTTACGTCTAATGGCTAAAAAATGATTGCATTATTATGATTTACAAATATACAATAATGAATAACATGAACACAATACCAGAAGAAACAACTTTAATAGCATTTTCTTGACCAATGATATTTTGTGATAGCTGCAATTCCAGAGGAAATTTTTTTCGGTACTCTGCATTACGTTTTTTTTTAATTTGTTCAAACTGAAAAGTTTATACTATTCATAAAATATACTTTAAGTTTACTCATGCCATAAAATAGTATATAATGAAGAAGTTGCAATATGATATATACACATTATAACAGTATAAGAAAATATAAAATTTTATAGCAATAATTTTTAATTTTATAATAATAATTGTTAAATGATACTTAAAAACAACATTTAAATTGTTTAAATATATTGTTATTAAAATAAATAATTTACAGACATTCAATCAAAATATAATACATTATAATAAATATAGTATAATTATTATAGTATTTTTTTGATAATTATTATCAAATCAGATTAGATTTTGTAAGCTGTTACTAGTGTAAGATATAAATTCACTTAGACAATCAAAACTTCTTAATACCTAAACTTTATGATATGTTAAAATATTATAACTTACATTTTTTTCATACTCTTTGAGTAGATCATATACTTCATGGTCTGAAACTAAATCTATTGGTCTATGATTGGATGCAGATTTTATAAATGGATTAGCTCCGTATTGTATTAGAATTTTTAAAGATTCAGTATCATTCAATAATGCAGCATAATGAAGAGCAGTGAATCCTTTAAATGTAGCGTTAGCATTAAAATTGTCCTTAAAGTATTTCTCTCTTGATGATAACACTAAAAAAAATAAATAAATATTTTATATATTTTAATTATTTCTATAAGTATAGATTTTCAATAATAATTTGTTTATTTAATTTAATTAAATATCATTATATTATATATATATATATATATAGATTCAGATTAAAGGGAGGGGGCAAGGGGGCATAAAATTTTAAAGGCACAAAGTATTGAAATAATGTAAAATAATATAAATACAGTAGAACCCCTCTCATCCGTCACTTTGGTTGATCCACCCATAGTATTATTGATAAGAATATGGATTTTCCAATTTATTGTATGTGGCTAGATATATTTATAAAATTAATTGCCTGTTTACTATTCATCTATTATTTATTTATTTTATTATTTAATTATTTATTTAATTTAATATATGTATGTAATTAAAAATAATATTTAAAATAATTTAAAAAATAAATTTGATAACATTTTGTCTTCAAATGTTTCTTTATATTCTGATAATCCAACCTTTTTCGCATTCCGACCACACCTTCAGTCACGATGGTGACGGATTAGTAGGGTTCTACTGTAATCAAAGTAAAAAAAATATTAATGAAAACAGTTCTGAATTTTAAGGTTTGCCCCAGGGCGTAAAATTTCTTAAGCCAGCCATGTATATATACACATATGAAAAATTAGTAGGTATTTACCATCACTAGGGTGAATTTCCAGTTTTTGAGCAACAATTAAATAATTAGAGAAACCTTCACTTATATCTGGATCTGCTCCAAATTTTAATAAAACTTCTAAGTGTTTGTTTTTTCCATTTGCTACTGCAACATGTAATGGAGCCCAACCAAATGTATGGCATTGATTAGCATTTTTAGGATTTTTTTTTAAAAATCTGGAAAAATAAAGTAAATATTTTAATTATTTCTTTAAATAGACATTTTTAAAAAAATACTTAAAATGTATAAACTAAAAGTTAAATTAAATAGAATATTTTCTAAATGCGTTGACAAAAACTATATGTTAACTCAATTAACATTACCGAGTCAAATCTTCAGCTTTTCCTTGAATTAATAATTCAAAAATGTCTAAAATAAAATTAAAATCAAAAATTAGATTTATACAACTTTAGATAATTTAAATAAGAATTGTATTTGTAGATATTTAATTTATTTCAAAACATCATAGTATAATCATGCATAATAAAATTATAACATTTAGCACAAATATGTGATCATAAAAAGTCACATTTGACTAATAATTCAACACAATTAGATACAACCAAGAATACAAATTATTAAATAATAAAAAACTATAGTAATATTTAAAGTTAATATTATGTACACTATTCACTTTGTAGAAAATCAATAAGATCATATTATAATACTTTCTATAAACCAAATAAACTAAGAATAAAATATTAGAATTTATTAAAAAATTATAATGATAGGTAGGAAAAGCTTTTAATTTTCAATTAATTATGTATCATATCTATTAGAGAAAGTATAGTAAAGCATTGAATTGATTATCCACTTTTATTAGGCAGGAGGAGGAGCGAATAATCAATTAATACAGATAATCAAAGAATAATAAAAATAAAATTAATAAAGTAAAAATACATACTAACATTTTTATATTTATTTAACTTAATACCAATTTTTTTTTTGTTTTTGAATAAATTTTTTATTTCACTACCAAATCTTTTATTCTTTTAAGGCCTGATTTTTCAATCTAATTTATCAGCTAGATAACATGAGTTGATACATAAGAAATATAACGAATATAATTGGTCCAAATAAGGCAATGAATAAATGAATGAATATTCAATGAATAAATCACAAATAAGTTATTCAGAACTTTTTTGACCATATAGCGAAATATTTGACAAATAAATGTTTTATCATATATTTATTAAAAATAAGAGTTCGGTAACTTAATTTAATATTACATATATATCTACATTAAAATGAGCCATAAAAAATATATGACGAATGATAAAACAAAATTAAATTAAACTAAAATAAATTTGTACAAAAATATTATATCTAATGCTGATAATCAATGCTCCACTGTAATTTAACTAATATACAAATACCTAAGTTAATTATAAAACTTTATTTTAACCATTTTAAAGCCTAGAAAATGTTATGGAAGAAAATATATTATACTTTTCAATATATCGTTGTTTTTTAAAATCAATATTGACTGTTTTTATTACCAAATCATTATTAAAAGTTGGATAATTTCTCTAAATTCAGTAACAGTAAAAGTATTTAACAACTCACTTTGACTATCATAACCAGCATACATAAGCGAAAAGGCAAACAACCATTTCCAAGACGGAAAACTGGGGTAAACCGGGAACAATTTTTCCCTAAACACTTGCCAACGATCTGCACTTCGACTGCTGACTACACACAAATTTCTTACGTATTGTATACCCAATTGTCGTCGTCCAACTATGAATTTAAATAGCAAACACTTTGAAACAATATTATTTTTAGCTAACAATCGTTGGACACTCATATTATTTTAACTCCACTCAAGCGCTGAAATAACTCCCGTTAATTCATAAAACAAGGCTAAAAAAACCAGAATATTAGAATTGGCATAAATGTAAACACAATTATATTGAAATGACAGATATTTCACAGTCAATCTTAGTTGTAAATTTAAAATCGAAATCAATATAAGTTTAAACAGACGGATGTGCGATTTAAACGTGAAAATCAGGTTATCAATGATAACTGTTATCGTTATCAACCGGCGATATAAAATATTCGAGTGATACACAACTGCGGACACTTTCTTTTTTGCAACCGATGGCGAACGATCATTATATAACAAAAGGTATTATTTTGCACCCAAAAAATGACATGACTGCGGTTGAAATTTAATAAAACGTTGCCAAGTTGTGTGACGCAGTTTATTAATATAATATAATATAAACATTTAAAGTTAAAAATTAAAAATCAAAAAAAGTAGGTAAAAAACAAGCCCTCAATATAATAATATAATATAATATAAACATTTAAAGTTAAAAATTTATATTTTTTCCCCTGTAATTACAACTAATTTTTTTTAAATATTGTATCGTTTTGGTGATTTTATAATCATTATAGCTCTGAAGAGTTAGGTTAATTCTATCTTAATTTTTTTTTTGCCACCGATTTTTCTCGACCTTTGTTTATGGATGAAATAATTATCTCAGTTTAGCCTTGAGTTTCTTTTAAACTACTTTAAATTCATTTCTTCTAACTACAGTATTTAACAAAAATTACTTATAAATGCATACTAAACTTAATACGCTCAGAATTTCCACATTCCTACATTATAGAAGTTTTATTTATAAAATTGATAACATGTGTCCGCAATAGTGTAATATTCGGGGGTCCGCTGATAAACTATTATTTTGATTAAAAAGGTCACCCCGATAAGAACCGTCCGCAGTCGTGTATCACCAAAATGCTCCACTACTAGAGAAAAAATTAAAAGTGCAATTTAAAAAAATTTAAATTATTTCATTATTATTTTCAAACCATAGGTATTACGATGAATGCTTTTTTCTTTTTCCTTCTGATTTTTGTATAATTAAATGGCAACCCTCGACCTTGAGCCAATCCGTATTTAATCACTATCTTATCTTATTGTTCTGTAATGCATGGCAGTGACACACTCTGAAGGGTTTAGGGACGAGCGTCTCACCGCAGCAACACATAGTTGGCTATGTGCACGTGCAGTTCTCCATATCAACCATGTTATCACAAATTATTTGTTATCACTTATTACTAGAATGTGAATTAAGAGCGCGCGAATTTGAATTATATATGAATATTATTTTATTTTCTCAATAAGATTTAAATCATATACATCGAAATGTACTTCGCTTTCTGGATATGATGATGAATATTGAGCAAAGTTTTAAAATAATTTTAAGAAAAGTATACTAAAATATTATGTTTCAGCTTTTGATAGAAAGTCTGTTCTATTTAACAATATTTGAATTTTTAACTAGTATTCAAAAACGTAACAAAAACCAATATCAAAAATATTTAAAAATTGTTTGGAGAACAAACTTCCTATCAAAAACTGATACATAATATTTTATATGTTATTTTAAAACACCACGAATATGTAAACAACAAATAAATTGATCAAACAACATTACTTCAAGTCCTGAAG